CGGCCATCCCTGCATCCACCCTGCGGCTCCTCTGTCTCGCAGAACGCCCAGTGCATCCCCGAGGGCCTGGAGAGCTACTACGCGGAGCAGGACTCCAACGCGCGGGAGAAGTTCTACACGGTCATCAACCACTACAACCTGGCCAAGCAGAGCGTGTCGCGCTCCGTGTCGCCCTGGATGTCCGTGCTGTCCGAGGAGAAGCTGTCCGAGCAGGAGACCGAGGCCGCCGAGAAGTCGGCCTAGCGGGGCTGGCGCCTGCCCACGCAGCGCTGGGGGGCCGGGGCTCCGCGGGACATTCCATTCACTGTAACCGCCCATCCTTTAGGGGTCCCCGTCTCGGGGCGTCGCTCCCGTCTGCTCACGCTGCTTCGCGCCCCTGCCCGCCGCAGACCCCCGCGGGCCCGCTGCAGCGCCCCGTCTCACGTTAGGGAGCCTTCATTTACTGCTTCACTGGGGTTTACGGGGTGCTGGCAGGAGGGAGGTGGACACTGGACGTGCCCGGGGCTGGACTTACGATGGATCATGCGTTTTCGCGGGCTTGACTTTTCCCTAGACCACTTGCTGTTCGCAGCCCCCTTAGAGCTGACCGAGCCAGCGTGCCTGGCGCTGGCCCCCTTCCAGATGGTGGCACGTGGGGTTGCGGGCAGGGTGGGAAGGGACCTGACCCTGCCTGGGAGCCCCCTCTGGCCTGGGTCCCACAGGTGGTTCTGGTGGAGAGGTGGGGTCTCCCAGTGGGGCCACCACAACGGTGTCAGCATGGGTGGGGAGGGGAGTAGGGCCCTCTGGTCACAGCACTGCCCCCTCGTTGGGCTTCACCGGACATCTACTCGGGTCTGTGACGGCCAGCGGTGGGGGGACATGGGCCACTGAGCCAGGCTCCTTTCTGCTTTGTGACAGACACGGAGGCTGTGACTCGAGGGGCGGGCGGGCGGGGTGGGGGCGGGGGACCATACCCATCCAGTTACAAGGTTTCAACTCCCCATCTTTGTAAAGAAACAACATTTGGGTTTAAATCTTGACATTAAAGTATATGTTTACAAAATTGCCAGGTAGATAAGCGAGTGTGTAACACAATTAAACAGAAAAAAGCTCTTCACAAATCTTTCTTCCGCCTGTGTGAATGTGTGGTTTCTGGTGAATGTGCCAAAGACGCAGAAAGAAACAGCAGAGGACTCTGGAGTCACCCTTAGAACGCGTGCGCGCACACACAAGCTCCGGCTTCCAGCCAGACGAGAGGGTCCTAGAAGGCAAACACACCCACACACATCCACACTCTCTCTCGGCTTTCAGCCAGCCAACAGAGGGTCCTATGAGGTGACCCCCCCCCATTCTCTCTATCCCCCCTGGCACTGCTGGCCTTCCAGGGCCAGAAGAGAAACATTCCCCAAGGGTAAAAGCCTGAAGGCAAGAAGGGGTAGGATTAGTGGAACTGGGAGCCATGGGGAGGGAGTGGGCAGGTGTGTCACCCTCGTGGGCACTGTCACTGACGTGGAACTCAATGTGAATGAATGCTGGAACGAAAGGCCAGTTGGCTTTGTACACCATCACTTAAACCACAAAGGAACGCATGCCGGGTCACGGGTCAGCTGGGAAGCAGCTTGACAGGTCTGTGCCCTGCTCCACAAGGCCCCTCGACGCTGCGCTTTCTGGCCGGGTGTCTGGGGAGGACAGGGCCCGGCAGCGGTGTGTGGTGTGGTGTGTGCAGTCTGGGTGATGTCCTGGCTCAGGCATGCACCTGGCGTGATGAGAGGCAGGGGTGAAGGGGGTCCCCCTGCCTGGGAAGCAGCTCAGGCCCCATCTTTGCAAGCCGCCTCCCCTGAAGCAGTGGCACAGAGGCAGCACCGCGTGCACTGGGCCATGGGCAGCGGACGGGTCTCCAGTTGCTGAGCTCACACGTCTAGGGAGCCGGTGTTGGCTGGGCAGAAGCCTGGCCGGGTGGGGGCCTGCATCCCCTAGGACCCTGGTGGGAACCCCTGCTCCCCATCAAAGGGTTGGGGCGGACCCTCCCCACCTCCACAGTTTCTTCCATCAAGTGAAGCGGGTGGGAGGCAGTGGAAACCGGACGTATGAACAAAGAGCCCCATCACTGGTCACACTTGCAGGTGTGTTCAGTGAATGGCTACACTGACTCAGAGAAGTCACACGGGATGGAGCAGGTGGCAGCGTTTTATTGTGAGGGGCCCCGTAGTGTCCTGGGCCACCAGCTCCTCAGACAGGCGGGGGCGTGAGGTCAGCAGTGCTCCCCGTCCTGGCCTCAGGTGGGGGCTCCTGTGCACTGTTAGGGGTCAGCACCGACGGGCTGACGAGCACTGTTTGGGGTCTCCCTGCTCCCCAGCCCCGCCCAGCAGAGGCAGTGAGCTGTGCGCAGGGCTGCGGGGCTGTCCACGGGCTGTCCACGGGCCTAGCTGTCATACCAGTCGAGGAAGAGCAGGGAGAAGGAGCACATGACGAGGAAGAAGAGGATCCACACGCGGAAGCCGGCGTTGTTCTTGATGGCCTGTGGGGACAGGACCTGGGCTTGACCACGCGTGCTCCCGGCCCACTGCACCAGACGGTGCTGTGTGTGCACCCGGGGTTCTGGCTACCACACGACCCCCGTGTGAGCACTCTGACATGTCTGTGCACACACCCAGGGTTCCACCGTGTGGGTCGTGCTGTGAGTGCCCTGACATACGTGTGTTCCTGTGCACACTGCTGGGCTTGGCCACACGGGACCCTGGTGTGAGCACTCTGACAACGTCTGTGCACACACCCAGGGTTCCACCGCGTGGGTCATGCTGTGAGAGCCCTGATATACACGTGTTCCTGTGCACACACTCAGGGCTCTACCGCGTGGGTCGTGCTGTTTGACTGCCCTGACATACATGTGTTCCTGTGCACACTCCCGGGCTTGGCCACACGGGACCCTGGTGTGAGCACTCTGACACATCTGTGCACACACCCAGGGTTCCACCGTGTGGATCGTGCTGTGAGTGCCCTGACATACGTGTGTTCCTGTGCACACTCCCAGGCTCGGCCACACCCTCTGACACGTGTGCTCCTGCACCCTCCTGGGTTCCCACCACGTGGAACAGTGGAGTGAGTACCTGCTAAGGCCTGTGTGTTACCATGCACACTCCCAGGCTCGGCCACACGGGACCCTGGTGTGAGCACCACCTCACCCTCGTGTGTTCTCTGCAGGCTCCCAGGGTTTTATACACACGGTGTGAGGATCCCTCCTGGGGTTCTACCATATGGGTCTGTGGTGTGATCACCCAGCACCCACACAGTCCCATGTAGACTTCCAGGGTTTTACACACGGGACCCTGGTATGAGTACTCTCTGATGCCTGTGTTTTCCCATGCACACTCCCTGTCCTGGTCCTGCTACCACAACCAGTCCAGACTCACACCACCCTAACTCCATCTAGAGTCAGCCGCCAAGGAGACTCACACCACTGCTAACCCACCCACACCCATCACAGATTCACACCACCCCCACCCCATTTCCACAA